AATTTACTTCTAACAAAATGCTCTCTCAATAGAGCAAGAAGAAAATAAGATAAGATATAAGATAAAATATGTATGTTATTTAAAGAAAAATACTAATTAACTACTCTTAACTTAATAGTAATTACTTCTACCAAACTTAATTATTCTTCTTGATCACTTCTTGACTCTCTATATATAGTATTTTCCTTGTTATGCTAATTACAAATTATTTTTAACATATTGTTTCATCTAATTTACTCAAGAACAAGTAGAATTTAAAAAGAATAATTACAAAAAATATTAAATACATGATAATAAAGAACTTAAATTAGCAAAATATTAAATTATTTAAAGATAAATCAAGAAAAAAAAGAAAAGATAAAAATAATTAATAAGAAAATTATTAATTTAATTAAACTATAAATCAAATATGACACACATGGCTAAATTAATATTTGAATAAGACTAAATATAGGTAATAATATGAATTAAAAATAGAATTAATAATAAATTAAATTAATTAATATAAATTACTTATTCACCTAATTTAGTAGTAATCGGCAATTACTGTGCCATGTGCTGCGGCTATACCATTTACTGCGCCATGTCTACTGCGCCACATGAATAAGCTAATTGGTTACACTATTCAAGTATATTTATTTCAGATCTTAAAGTAAAGATATTTATATATCTTTAAGTTTTTATCTAAACTTGTTTGCTATTCTAAACTATAATTATAATCTTTGGGACAAAGGATCAATAAATAAACAAGTAAAAATAAGGAATAAGATATATATGATAAGTTAAATAATAATATAAATAACAAAATAAAATAAAAAAATAAGATATATGTTCTAAAAAGAAAAAGATAATAATAAAAATAAATGAAATTTATTGCTGAAGCATTTTTAAAGTATTTCTAAACTATTATTAAATCATTTATAAATTATTATTAATTTTGGAGCTAATTATTTATTAATGATCTTAAAATATTACAAGAATATTACAAAAATATTATTGAACCATGATTGAATTCATAACTGATATACCAATTATATTATTCAAAATCACATATCTTCTAAAGATTGATTGATTGATCAAATTTTTCAAGTTCAAAAAATTATAAAATTAAAGAAATTTATATTATTATGATAATAGTAATATACAGATATCTTTTACATATAAGACTATATTCTTATTTACTTCTTGTATTTTTAATTATAATTATTATTATCAAGCTAAAACTTAAATATTTATTCTAAGCTGATAAATTATAAAATAAATTATTATTTTTATTAGTATTTTAACTTGTTAATCAATTATTATTTATAATTTTATTTTATTAAAATTAAATAATAATGACTTCTCTTAGATAAGTAAGAATTATCTCAATTTTTTTTACATTAATAATATTATTGACATTAGCAGATCATTCAAATTTTTCAATCTAACTAATAGAATCTTCATGTACTTCTTTATTATAAGTAGAAAGAGATACTGTAAATAGCTTAATTTATCTGTTTTGTTAAGTTATCATTACTACTATTAATAAATTCAGAATATTAACTAATATTTATATAACATTATCTGTTATATTTTCTTAATTTCTTTAAAATAATAATTGTGATAAGTCTGAGATTATAAAAATTTAAACTTCTTCTTCTGACTCTTCTTTGCTTGTATTTCTTGTCTATACTAGAGCTAGAACTATACTTCTTCTATGTAAAAGACTAATAAAAAAGATATTAAGTAATAAGATTAAGATGAATGAAGATGGAACTGGGATAGGAGTTCTAATTGGAGTATTAATTAGGATACCAATTCTTGATTGTTAAATATAGTGTGATCTTTGTTGATTAAATGTAGTAATCTCCTTTGTGTAAGTTATGAATAAGACTTTAATAATTTAGTTTTCTCTATACAAAGCAGATGCAAATTAATTTTATTGAATAATGGAGATAGAATCTCATACTGAAATTTTATTATTAAATAAAATACCTAATAAGCTTTCAAACAAGCCTAAATTTGTTTCATTTAATTTTGTAATTGTTGAGATATATGGATTTTTGTCACCGCCATTTTTTTCTTAATACACTATATAGCAAGAAATATAAAAATTTCGATCCTTGGTTTACCCCTTAAAAATCACGGTACTCACAGACTTTTCTTGTAATATTAAAATGATATTACGTAATGTATGTCACCGCCCTAACTAAATTTAAAATATTTTAGAATATTATCTTTATTATGTATATCATAAAGAAATTGAATCAAAATTACAATAAATATAAAGTTGCCAAGCATACATAATAATCAATCCTGTATGAATCAATGAGTTATAGTAAAGATTGTTGTTATTTTTACTAATTTTAAGCACGGGCGGGTATTTGTGGCAGTGCTCAAAAATTAGCTTTTCGTGGCTTTTTTTTACCACAAGCATTTGAAAATGAATTTTATAACCAACTTTCATCCTTTTTCTTATAAAATTTACCTTCTACTTTATTCTTTTGTCGCTTAACTTTTGTTTCATTAACAAAAAAAGAGTATGGGAGATACGGAAAAGATAGAAATCCCAATTACAAAATTACAATGGGGATTTCGAGGTACCCAAGTTTTTTTCGCGTTTCTTGCTATGGCTACAATTGCTGCAGTTATATCATTCGACAACAAATACGTTTCTAGTAAAATTTTGGATAACTTATACCTGTTTATATTGCTCATATCAATGTTCGTCGCGGGAGCAATTGTCGGAATTCCATATGTCTATCTTCAATATGGAAAACTTAAACCGATGGCGAGAGCTTTACGACATTTACGAGTAGAGTTTGTTTTATCGGCAATTTGGGCTTTTTTATTGTTTATTGTAACACTCGGAGTGACAATTGAAATTGCGTTTAGAAAATGTGCTCCTTCTGATTATTCCGAGGAATTTCTTAACTATACAGCGGGAAATAAAACAAATGGCGAGCATCTTTTTGAGAAAGGATTAAAAGGCGCATGTACAACACAACGAGCTAGTATTGCCTTTGGATGGTTTGCACTTGCTTCTTGGATAGGATCAATGCTATTAATTACTAAAGGATGGTATGACAATCGAAGACAACCTGTAAAGCATGACTATCATCCGCATGAAGTTACAATGCATTCGAATTCAACGAGGTCTTCCTTAGAGGAAAGTGGACTTCCGCATTATCCAGAAGTTGGTCAACAACAACAACCAGCAGCAGCTGCACCACCACAATCGCAACCTGAACCACCACCCTCGTCACCTCCAATATATCCAGTCGCTTTTCAATCTCCTCCACCTCAACATCAATCTCAACCTTATGGCGTAACGCCGCCACCATCCAATATTGCATCAATTCAAATACCTGCATCTCAAATTCAAATTCCTCCGGGTAGTATTCCTTTCCCTGAACCAAAGCACTATTGAAATACTTTATTATTCAATCGACAGTTTTCATCATTATTAAGATTCAGACTTGTACAAACTTTCTTTTTCCATTATTTATTTGTAAATTATAATAAACACAATTAACATTATAAAGAATAATAATTGTTCTTTGACACCGAGAGAAATGATCTTGGCAAAAGAAATTTTTTATGATCAAGCGATCTAATAAATATTAACCAGTGATAAATTTATTTGATTCAAAGATCAAATGTAAGAGCAAATCTGTTGAATTTATAATAAATAAAAAAATTTAAAAAAAACGGGTTCAAGTTTTGATTGCAATATATCTTTATAAGTAAAAATTAACTTTAAATAAATAAAATACATTGTTTAAGCATTATCGATTACATTTTTCAACAAGATAAAATATTTTCTAGAAGCTTCACGATTGACTGCTTATTATCGTTATTATACATAGTTCAGTTTTACCAAACCCAATTTCAAATTTCCTAAATTGAATCTTGAATTTCATTACGTCCTATTAGAGACAGAATAAGGGTAAGTATTGGGCGAGGAGACAAGATTATATGTAAAATTGCCGAGATAGATTTATACACTCCTTACAGAGTGGGAAATTTGAAATTTGGTTTAGCGTTAGTAACGATAATACCGCGAAAGTAGAATCTGTGCTCGGTTCCTAATTACATGCACTTCACAGACCAATAAGGATTCGCGAATTTTTGATCAGCCCCGAGGAGCACTATTAAAAAATATCGGAAAGACAACATTACTACCCTTTTTAATAGTTGACCGGCTCATTATGATGTGCAGATTCTTATTGGCTATTTTCATGTGACCAGAAACGAACTACTCCTGTAATATCTGTACACGTTTTTTGCTGATAACACGTTTTTTTTTTGGTTGATGAGGTTTTTTCACTTTACATCGATAGTTGCTCATTCAGCAAACTTTTTAAAGAGGCATGGAGGACGCATATGTTAAAACTATCGAAGAAGTAGTAAATTATTTCAATGTTGACATAGATAAAGGGTTAACACAAGAACAGGTGTTAGAGGCTCAGAATCAACACGGAAAAAATGGCATGTATTGTGAGCCATCGTGAAGCTCTTGAAATTTTGTATTCACTTATAGTTATTTTTCTCGATATACATTTTACGCGTTTGAATAGCTTTTTAACACGCGATTTGTTCGAAACTAATACTCTATTAGAACTGCCACCAGAGGAGTCCACACCACTTCTGGAATTGATATTAGAACAATTTAAAGATCAACTTGTCATTATACTTTTGGTTGCCGCAGCGGTGTCCTTTGTTCTCGCGTTATTGGAAGAAGCTGATGAAAAGGGCACAGCATTTGTGGAACCTATTGTGATTTTACTGATATTAATTGCTAATGCAACTGTCGGTGTTGTACAAGAGACAAATGCTGAAAAAGCCATTGAAGTAAGAATAATTAAATTTCATTTCATTCAACTATTACTACTGCACTGTTTATTCTTTCAATTTAGTTAATTTTTTTTCTATTAGGCTTTAAAGGAATATTCCCCTGATGAGGCCAAAGTTCTTCGAGAAGGTCACTTGTCAAAAATTCATGCTTCCGAACTTGTTCCCGGTGATATTATCGATGTGTCGATTGGTGATCAAATTCCCGCTGATTCGCGTCTAATTAAAATCATATCATCAACTTTCCGAGTTGATCAGGCAATTTTGACTGGTGAAAGTGTTAGTGTGAATAAAGATACGGCACCAATTTCAGACAAAAGAGCTGTAAAACAAGATCAGATAAACATCTTATTTGCGGTGATTATATATACATTTTTATATACTATTCATTGACTTGGTATACCATTAAATTAAGATTGTTAAGTTACTATGTTCTCATGTTATGATAGGGAACGTCTGTGGTAATTGGCAGAGCTCGAGCGATAGTAGTTAAAACAGGCACTGGTACTGCAATTGGTGATATTCATAAGAGTATAGCAGCACAGATATCTGAGCGTACTCCTTTAAAACGGAAATTAGACGATTTCGGTGATTTATTAGCCAAGGTTCGTAATTTTCTGTTCTCTCTCTAAATGTATGTGAGTTAAAAGTCTCATTTTTTTTTCTTTTCAATAAAAACAGGTGATTTCAGTTATTTGTATTCTCGTATGGTTGATCAATATTCGCCATTTCAATGATCCTTCACATCACGGCTGGTTAAAAGGTGCAATATATTACTTCAAAATTGCTGTTGCGCTCGCAGTTGCCGCTATACCTGAAGGACTTGCCGTTGTTATAACAACATGTCTGGCATTGGGAACCAAAAAAATGGCAAAGAAAAACGCCATTGTTCGATCTTTACCTTCTGTTGAAACTTTGGGTTGCACAAGTGTAATTTGCTCCGATAAGACTGGCACTTTGACAACAAATAAAATGAGCGTGTCACGGGTAAGTACAAAAAAATTTTCGAAAAGTAAACCTAAACCTAAATATAATTTTTTATTCAGATGATATATTTTTTTATCATTTTATTTTGAATTAGATACTTCTTGTCGCTTCAGATTTAGCAAAACTTGAAGAGTTTCATGTTGAAGGATCTAGTTATGCTCCTGTTGGTAATATCTCGTAAGTTGAGTTTCGAGTTATTTCTTGCTTATAATAAAAAATTTATTTAACAATATATGTGTTATATTTAATTTAGTAATGCAGATGATGGTAAAATTGTTGAAAATTTACCAACCAAAAATCATTCCATTAATGAGCTGGCACAAGTCTGTGCCTTATGTAATGATTCTCGCATAGTATATGACGAGGTATTTTAATTTGCATTTATTTTCGTACAGGATACTTGACGTAGGCTGACAATGTTGCTTTCTTGATATTGCAATTAAAGTATAATAACTATTATCGCAATGTTGGTGAGCCAACCGAAGCCGCACTTAAAGTTCTCGTTGAAAAGCTTGGGTCGAACGACGAATCCTTTAACTTAAAATTAAGTCATAAATCCCCCAAGGAACGTGTCATGGCTGTTAACACATATTATGAGAATAAGTCGACACGAGTAAGTAGCAGGCTTTTATTTGGTATTCTTATAAGAAATTGATTATTTACTAAGTATCAATTTTTAGTTGGCAACTCTCGAATTCTCACGCGATCGGAAATCAATGTCTGTTGTTGTAGCTGAAGCTGGAAATTCATATGGAAAATTACTTGTCAAAGGAGCACCCGAATCTATACTGGATAGATGTACTTCTGTTCGTATATCTTCTACAACAGAAGGTTCACAGACAAAGATCACACCAACGATTCGTCAAAAATTAAATGAAAAAATATTAGAATACGGTCGGAATGGGCTGCGTGTTCTTGCAATAGCTGTAGTGGATTCTGTGAGTGCGCGCTTAGAGGAATGGAATTTGAGCGAACCCGCAAAATTTATAGATTTCGAACAAAACATGACTTTTGTTGGACTTGTGGGAATGTTGGATCCTCCGCGTCCCGAAGTACCAGACGCTATAATCAAATGCAAAACTGCTGGAATTCGTGTCATTGTAATTACTGGTGATAATAAAGATACGGCAGAGTCAATATGTCGAAAAATTGGTGTCTTTGGAGAACACGAGGATTTAACAGGAAAATCTTTTACCGGACGAGAATTTGATGGATTCTCTGCTGAAAAAAAAGCAGAAGTAGTGCATACTGCAAATTTGTTCTCGAGAACAGAACCTTCACATAAGAGTGAACTTGTTGATTTACTTCAAAGCCAAGGAGAAATCGTTGCAATGGTATTTTATTTATTATCTAGTGAATCATTTTTATTTTTTGACTTCATTTTAATTTAATTCTTAATTATTTATAGACTGGTGACGGTGTAAATGATGCACCCGCTTTAAAGAAAGCCGATATTGGTGTGGCTATGGGCTCGGGCACAGATGTGGCCAAGTTAGCAGCTGATATGATTTTGGCTGATGACAATTTTGCTACAATAGAAAGAGCGGTTGAAGAAGGTCGTTCTATATATAATAATACGAAACAATTTATTCGATACTTGATTAGTTCCAATATAGGAGAAGTTGTTAGGTAAAACCATTATTTTGCGTCCATATTTAATTGCGTTGATATTTTTCAATATTAATTAATTATATATATATTTTTGTAGTATATTCCTTACCGTACTTCTTGGTATGCCAGAGGCACTTATTCCCGTTCAATTATTATGGGTTAACTTAGTCACCGACGGGCTTCCAGCCACTGCATTAGGTTTTAACCCACCAGATCACGAAATTATGCGTCAGCCTCCCAGAAGTAGTCGAGAACCTATTGTTGGCAAATGGCTATTTTTTAGATACTTAGTGGTTGGTACTTATGTTGGTGCAGCTACGGTATTCGCTTACGCATGGTGGTTTATGTTTTATCAAGACGGACCACAAATTAGTTATTACCAATTGGTTAGTATTTTAGTTCTTTCGAGATGTGATAAAAAAATCAATTTTTCAAATTTATTAATTCATTTAATTTAATATTAGACAAATTTCCATAAATGCCACGAACTATTCCCGGAAATCGGCTGTGAAATGTTTATTAATGATATGTCGAAACGCGCCACAACAATGTCACTTACAGTTCTAGTAACTATTGAGATGTTGAATGCCATGAACTCGCTTAGTGAAAATGAAAGTCTATTCACTTTACCACTCTGGGAAAACTTATATCTTGTATTTGCTATTGCGTTGTCAATGTTACTTCACTTTATGGTGCTATATATGCCATTCTTTTCGGTAGGTCACAACTGATAACTTTTTTTTCGATAAAATTATTTTATCGATATTTATTTAAATTACATTATTATGAAAATTTATAGAATCTGTTTGCCATTCTTCCACTTAATTGGATCGAATGGAAAGCTGTCCTGTGGATATCTGGCCCAGTCATCGTAATTGATGAAGTGATGAAGTTTTTCAGTCGTACATTAATAGGTAATCTAATCAAATCATGTTTACTCGATTTAATTATAATTTCAAATAGTTTATTAATGTCTTATTTACATAATAATAAATAGCACCAAAAACAAAACTCAAAACAGAATGAGAAAAAATTCTCTCTCATCTCATAGAAAAATACATATTTATTTTCAACACTGACCACCGAACAACCTGCCGATTGAAAGACACTTTCGCTATCATCGTAATCATAATAATGTAGTATCTATAATAGGCTCGAATTTAAAAATATTTCCTTATAGTCTCTTTGTATAATGTGACGGTTTCTAAATTATCAGTTTTAAATGATAGTCGTCGCCAAACTTTAAAGAAAAATATTTATTTAGGATCAAGATGCTTAATAAAAGTTAATTTGAAAATTTATAGTTTTGACATTTGAATTTGTATATAATAAATCTAGCCATGTCAAATCAGTCTCGAATTCGAATTACATGATAAAAAAGTCATGTACTTTCTTTCATGTCATGTGATTTATTATATAATCTTTTTATAAAACAATATAATAATACTTTTTAATGCACTTAATTATAAATAGATAAAAATAAAAATAATTTTATTAAATAAAAAGTTTAATTATTTTATTATTTAATTTATTATTAATTATTTTAATTAAGTATTATGATATAATATAAAAAGATTCATATATCAAAAAAAGTGATTAAGATTTCTAATAATAATTTACATATATAATCAAATCAAATAATACTATTTATATATGTCTGGTTATATATATACAAGTCTATTTATCTTCCAAATTTTTTTTTATTTTAATACTTGTTTTTCAAGAAAAACAAATATTTTATTAATAAATAATAAAAAATTGATAATTCTTAATATTTATAATTATTTTTCTAATTCTATTATAATAAATAAATAAATAATATTAAAAGTTCATATTATATAAGTATATTATTATGATTATAGATATTTCATAAAGTATAGTTAATATTATTATATAATGTGAAAAATCTTAATTTATTAATTACATAAATTTATTTTAATTTTATATATATAATATATAATACATAGTAACTTTCTTTATAGTGGATCTTTACTATAGTGAATTTCAGATATTGTGAAGAAATATTAAAAACTTATTTTTCTTCTAATTAAACTAGTTCTATATAATATATTTATATAGAAATTATGCAGATTTTGATTAGTGAAGGAAATATGATTGATTGATTATAGTCTAAAATATTTTTATATAATATATATAGTACAAAATCACTATATTGTGAATTTTCATTCAATATAGTAGAGGGATAATAATTTAGTTAGATTAGAATGAAAAAATTTTTTCTTCTTTATTATGGATGAACAGATCATTAATATAACTCTATCACAGTCTAGAGATAGAGGTGATCAAGAAATATTTAAAAAGTATATTATCTTGATTAGAGCAAAGTATGTAATTGATAAAAAATAATAAAGCAAGAATTATGATAATGTGAGAGTTTTTATTATTTTAGATAATATGTAAGATTATTTGTTAATAATAAAAAATAATAATGCAAAATTATTTTTCAGAAAAAGAGAATTATGTGAAAAAAAAAAAACTTTCTCTCAATAAAAGACTGAGAGCTAGTAAAAGATTTTGGAATTAGTGAGCAAGCTATCTTTAAAATTCTTAAAAGATCTTTATATTAGTTACATCTTGAACTAGAATTAACTGTCATCAGATTCAAATATAACCAAAAAAGCATCTTTCTCAAAATTAAAGAAGTGATAATAATTTGTATTAATCAAATTATTGCTCAAGAACTTACATTACAAGAACATATAATTCAAGAAAAAGCAAAATGATTTGCTAGAAGACTTGGTATTCAAGTCTTTAATGTTTCTAATGGATGACTTGTAAAGTTTAAAAAATAAAATAAACTTAGCTCATATAAATGAAGAAAAGAATTAGCAAGTATTTCAATTGAAAAAATTTCACAATTTCAGGCAGAATTACAAGAGGTTTTTCATGAGTATTCTTCAGAAAATATCTTCAATTGTGATGAGATAATACTTTTTTGGAAACTTGAGCCAAGTTAAACTCTCACTCATGAATCTATAACTGAAAAGAAAATATCTAAAGATCATATTAATATTATAATAACATATAATTCAATAGGAGAAAAATTGTCTTTACTATTTATTTACAAATACAAAACTCTAGTTGCTCTTCAAGAAATTGATAAAAATACTCTTCTCATATAGTATTACTTTAATAATAAGACTTGAATACAAAGATCAGTCTTTGCTTATTATCTTAACTGACTTAATAGTATAATGTGTAAAGCTAATTGACATATTCTTCTTTTAATAGATAATATCAAATATCATGAGACAGAAAATCTTAAAACTCTTTCTAATATTTGAGTTTACTTTTTTTCTTCTAATATAACATTATATTTATAGCCAATAGATCAAGAAATTATTTACAGCTTGAAGATATTATAATTAGTATCATCATTACTCTGCATATTTTTTCTGTTCAAATATTTTCTCTTATATATCTTATAAAAATTATATTTTACTTATTATCAGATATATTATCAATGAATCTTATATCAAAATTGACTTGAAGCTTATGAACTTATTACCTCTGAATTTTCTATTTCAAGTTTACTTACTATTTGAGATGTGATTAAATTTTCTGCTATCACCTGAAATTCTGTAATACAAATTATGATTAAAAATAATTAGCATTATACAGATATACTTTCTTCTTCTATGATTTGGAATAATGATTTAGTAGCAGTTGATTCACTCTCTAATGATGCTAAAGCTAAACAAGAACTCATAGTTTTCATTAACTGAATGCTACATATTTCTGATTCCATGATCATGAAAAAGTATATTCTGATTGATAATCAAGTTGTAAATAAGAAGCAAATGATAGATGAGAAAATTATCAAATTCATAAATAGTAAAGATACTCAAGAGCCAGAGAATAATAAAGAGTCTGAATTCTTAATAAAAGTAAAGGATGCTTTGGAAGGGTTAGCAAATGTAATAAAATATTTATAATATAATAATCTCAGAGAAGTCAATTTTGTGACTATGAAAATGTTAAATAGTTTAAAGAATCAAATTCTTCAAAATGATATTGAAAACAAGTATCAGTCTAATATTATTCAATATTTTTAGTGAAGTTATGATTATTTATCTTCTTTTTTTCTGCTTAAACTTTTATTGCTTTTTCTTGTATATTAATATGAAATAAATCATTTTTTAATCAAATTTACTATAATATATATCACATGATATATTATTAAAATATACTATATGATAAGATTTTTTTTGTGTATAGCTTGTTATAATATAAAAAACTGTTAGATTTTGTATCTCTAATATAAAGAGAGTCATTATATATAATTAATAATATAGCAAATATTAAGTAATAATATATAATATAGTATATTATATAATATAATTAATAATATATTATAACTAATTATCTATTTGTATAATGCAATAGATGTAGCGTAATATATGATACAGCTATAATATATAGTATAGTAATCATTAATTACTACTAAATCAGATAATTAAGTAATTTATATTAATTAATCTTATTTATAATTAATTCTATTTTTAATTTATATTATTATCTATATTTAATCTTATTCTTTTATTAACTTAGTCATGTGTATCATATCTAATTTATAATTTTATTAAATTAATAATTTTCTAATTAATTATTATTAATTTTCTTTTTTTTCTCACTTTAG